GTTGACCCCCGCCAGCTGCCGCCAAGCCCTGGACGCTCCGGACCCTTCGAGCACAGGCTCTGCCCAGACACGTTTCCTGGCATTACCCCCCAAGCAGCAAACATCCACAGTGGGATGGTCAGGCAGCTGGAGCGTCGGCAGCTTGGCTTGATCTCCGCTGCCTGGGACAGGGTCATGCATCCATGGAGGGGACAGACCGTGCAGAGGGTCTCAGATAAGGTTAAACCAAACCCGGCAGCTTTATCTGGACCCAAAACTATAAGTGCGCAAGCAAAGAGGAGTCCCAGCGCCTGGGGAACTGTAGTGCTTTGCATAGGTGAAGGAATATGCAGAGATGGGGATGCCAAAACAAAACCACTACCCCAAATCCTACACCACTGAGTGCTGCCACCGCCCCGCTCCAGCCAAGACCCCTCCTGCTCCCCTGCCCTCAGGGACCCTCCAAGGAGATGCCTTACCTGGAAGTTGCCGACCATGGTGAGGCCAGCGGCACAGACCCAACCGGTGGCCAGCCCCAGGGTGTTGAGGAGGGACGGGCCAAGGCGCTCCAGGAGGTGTGCGTAGCGCAGCAGCCCCACCAGGATGACTGCGGGAGGGAGACACAGTCCCGTCGCATGTACCCCACCACCACCGCTGCCCCCTGGCTGGGGGGTGAGCACTGCAGGGCGCCCCGATCCCAGCTCTGCTCCCCCAGCAGCGAGCACTTACCCATGAAGGAGCCCAGACTGCAGATGAGGCTGAAGAAGCAGCTCTCGGGAGGCAGAGTGCCACACTTGCTGTGAGGACAAGGCAAGGCCCGGGGACCCCTCAGCTGGGAGGCACTGGGGTGCGGTACTTACCCCCCTCCCCAGGACATGCTCCTGGGTTGCCCCGGGTGAGCTCTTGGAGAGGCTGAGACCCCCAGAAGGCCCTACACTCCCACCCCACGGCTGCTCACCTGACAAGAGGGATGTGGTCCAGCGTGCAGCAGGAGCCAGGGCCATCCACATCGCAGGACTGGTTGTAATTCCTGTGGGCAGAAAAAGGACAGGCTGGGAGAGCCACTCCTGCCAGTGACCCTCTTGCCTCCTGCCCACAGCCCCTGCAAGGGCAGCAGAGTTTCTCCCCAGTGAGCGCAGCCCAACCCTGGACCCTGGGGATGTGCCGACACCCTGGGGTCAAACCTCTCCAGGGATCAACCCACCACCCAACAGGGTTCCCTGGGAGCATCATGCCGTGGGTTT